GAGAGAGAGAGAGAGAGAGAGAGAGAGAGAGAGAGAGAGAGAGAGAGAGAGAGAGAGAGCGACAAACAGAATAAACAAAAGACATGGTGGAACAAAAATGAAAAGTAAACGACTACAGTGTGATAATGACAGAAATCTGGATCGTCATCGGACAGCCGCAAAAGGACGTGCCAGCAAAACATCCTTGTGGCTACCCGTCTGCCATGGTTGACTTCCTTAGAAAAGTGCATGCGGTGCACGTCACTAGCACGCTCGGTCGAACTCCAAACAACGTACCCCACAAGCAATCGGGCCATCGTGTGCGCCTGGAGGCAGGGGCCACGCTTGGACGATCGACCCCCCCCCCCCCCCCCCCCCCCCCCCCCCCCCCCCCCCCCCCCCCCCCCCCCNCCCCCCCCCCCCCCGCTCCCTCACGTACAACCAAACAGCGAACGCCAGCAGCAGGAAGAGATTATCATCACACTACAGCTCCTCAAAAACATGTTTCGCTAAGAATCTCAAAGCCGTGTTTCGCTACCAATCTCTCCGTTCTCACTCTACCATCTACCTGCAAACGAGCGACACGCATCTCCAGGCCGACGACGCCTGTCGGAGACACGGCGGCCAGCCCTGCTCGGCGGGGAGACAGCTGAGAGAGAAACCTGTTCCGGCCACAAGGAAAAAATAAAGCGTGGGCGTTGAAACAAGAAGCGAGAGAGAGAGGGGGGGGGGGAGCGAGAGAGCGAGGCGCGCGAGAAAGACAGACACACGGACAGACAGACGGAAGCTTCAGCATAGACCAATTACATGGTATTTCACCCGGTTTTCCCCACCGAAGTGGGCCAGGTACGTTGTCGTCAAGTTCAGTGAGACTAATGTAGGACGAGCAGCAGCATCAGCATTGCAGCAACAGAAACAGCGGGCGGCCGTGGCGCCAGGACAAGCCGACTCAACCCGCCGAACGCTGAAAACATACATGTCAATTCTCTTGTAGACGCATGTGCCCGTTACTATTTACGGTGACCTGGGTACTGCGGTGCGAGAAAAGTCAAGAGCAAGAAACAGCCTTTTACCGCAGCATCGTTCGGCCCGGACGTGTCTTAAACCTGATCACCGCGATGGTGAAACACCCTCCTCAATCAAGCATCAACCTCCTGCTCACCCCGAAGCCGTGACCCGAGGAAAATGACGCTGGCGAAAGAGTAAAATTGAGGTCGTTCGGAACATGTACAACGGGGTTTACCGCATACGCCGTTCGATCTCCGACAAATCTAAACAACCACGGCTCCAAAGAAACAAAACAAAGAATAACAGAGAGAGCGGTGTAGAGCTCGGTAGCAGGGCACGAAACTATCTCTCCCATACACACACTCCCCCCCCCCCCCCCCC